AGCCCATGAGCTCATTCTACACTACCGGTCAAAAGTTTTAGAACACCTACTCATTCAAGGGTTAATCTTTATCTTTACTATTTTCTACATTATAGAATAATAGTGAAGACATCAAAACTATGAAATAACATATATGGAATCATGTAGTAACCAAAAAAGTGTTAAATAAATCAAAATATATTTTATCTTTGAGATTCTTCAAATAGCCACCCTTTGCCTTGATGACAGCTTTGCACACTCTTGGCATTCTCTCAACCAGCTTCACCTGGAATGCTTTTCCAACAGTCTTGAAGGAGTTCCCACATATGCTGAGCACTTGTTGGCTGCTTTTCCTTCACTCTGCAGTCCGACTCATCCCAAACCATCTCAATTTGGTTGAGGTTGGGGGATTGTGGAGGCCAGGTCATCTGATACAGCACTCCATCACTCTCCTTCTTGGTAAAATAGCCCTTACATAGCCTGGAGGTGTGTTGGGTCATTGTACTGTTGAAAAACAAATGATAGTCATTGCAGCTAAAGGTGGCACAACCAGTTATTGAGTGTAAGGGGGCAATTACTTTTTCACACAGGGGAATTGTGTGTTGCATAACTTGGTTTATGAAATAAATATGTAATTGTTGTGTTATTTGTTCACTAATGTTCCCTTTATCTAATATTAGGTTTTGGTTGAAGATCTGATAACATTCAGTATCACAAATATGCAAAAGTAGAGAAAATTAGAAAGGGGGCAAATTGTTTTTCATAGCACTGTATGTATATGTATATATGTGTGTGTATATATATATATATATATATATGTGTGTATATGTATGTATGTCTATATATATGTGTGTATGTACAGTGAGGGGAAAAAAGTATTTGATCCCCTGCTGATTTTGTAAAAACAAAAAATCCAGAAAAATACGTGTCAAATATGTTATAAATTGATTTGCATTTTAATGAGGGAAATAAGTATTTGACCCCCTCTCAATCAGAAAGATTTCTGACTCCCAGGTGTCTTTTATACAGGTAATGAGCTGAGATTAGGAGCACACTCTTAAAGGGAATGCTCCTAATCTCAGCTTGTTACCTGTATAAAAGACACCGGTCCACAGAAGCAATCAATCAATCAATCAGATTCCAAACTCTCCACCATGGCCAAGACCAAAGAGCTCTCCAAGGATGTCAGGGACAAGATTGTAGACCTACTCAAGGCTGGAATGGGCTACAAGACCATCGCCAAGCAGCTTGGTGAGAAGGTCACAACAGTTGGTGCGATTATTCGCAAATGGAAGAAACACAAAATAACTGTCAATCTCCCTCGGCCTGGGGCTCCATGCATGATCTCACCTCGTGGAGTTGCAATGATCATGAGAATGGTGAGGAATCAGCCCAGAACTACACGGGAGGATCTTGTCAATGATCTCAAGGCAGCTGGAACCATAGTCACCAAGAAAACAATTGGTAACAAACTACGCCGTTAAGGACTGAAATCCTGCAGCGCCCGCAAGGTCCCCCTGCTCAAGAAAGCACATATACACGTGGGTCTGAAGTTTGCCAATGAACATCTGAATGATTCAGAGGAGAACTGGGTGAAAGTGTTGTGGTCAGATGAGACCAAAATTGAGCTCTTTGGCATCAACTCAACTCGCCGTGTTTGGAGGAGGAGGAATGCTGCCTATGACCCCAAGAACACCATCCCCACCGTCAAACATGGAGGTGGAAACATTAGGCTTTGGGAGTGTTTTTCTGCTAAGGGGACAGGACAACTTCACCGCATCAAAGGGACGATGAACGGGGCCATGAACCGTCAAATCTTGGGTGAGAACCTCCTTCCCTCAGCCAGGGCATTGAAAATGGGTCGTGGATGGGTATTCCAGCATGACAATGACCCAAAACACACGGCCAAGGCAACAAAGGAGTGGCTCAAGAAGAAGCACATTAATGTCCTGGAGTGGCCTAGCCAGTCTCCAGACCTTAATCCCATAGAAAATCTGTGGAGGGAGCTGAAGGTTCGAGTTGCCAAACATCAGCCTCAAAACCTTAATGACTTGGAGAAGATCTGCAAAGAGGAGTGGGACAAAATCCCTCCTGAGATGTGTGCAAACCTGGTGGCCAACTACAAGAAACGTCCGACCTCTGTGAATGCCAACAAGGGTTTTGCCACCAAGTACTAAGTAATGTTTTGCAGAGGGGTCAAATACTTATTTCTCTCATTAAAATGCAAATCAATTTATAACATTTTTGACATGCGTTTTTCTGGATTTCATTGTTGTTATTCTGTCTCTCACTGTTCAAATAAACCTACCATTAAAATTATAGACTGATCATGTCTTTGTCAGTGGGCAAACGTACAAAATCAGCAGGGGATCAAAAACTTTTTTCCCTCACTGTATATATGTATATACATATATGTGTGTGTATATGTGTATGTATGTATATATATATATATATGTATATATGTATATGTATATGTATGTATATGTATGTATGTGTGTGTGTAATTTAGCAAACATTTCTAAAAATCTCTTCGGTTTGTCATTGTGAGGTATTGTGTGTAGATTGCTGAGGCAAAAAATGTATTTAATCCATTTTAGAATAAGGCTTTAATGTAACAATGTGGAAAAAGGGAAGGGGTCTGAATGCTTTCCGAATGCACTGTATATCTAGATAACGGGTTCAGAATATGGATCAATGAAGAAAGATGTAAATAATTGGTAGGTTAAAACAAATATTGTAAATTATTTAGGGTTAGGAAAGTATTTATAAATCATACATAAACAGGGTTGGAGAGCCTTTATATAGCACAAAATATATTGGTGAATCAAAAATAATGATTTGATTCATCCTGAAAGTTGCCATATTCAATTGTTCAATCCATGAAATATTGGAAGGCGAGAAGTGTACAATTGGGGTTGAAAAAAAGTCAGTCGTCGTGAACCGTGTGCTAGGCTCCATGTTAAAACTGCTATGTATGCTCTGTGTTCCATAATGATTCAATTAGGCTACATGTCCCAAATTATTGCACAACTTGTAATACGTTAACCTAAGATGATCCACAATTGCTAGCGACTCTCAGGAACAACCACACAGACGTGACAGAGGAAAGAAAGGTATACTAACGATGTAATGGAATGATGCAAAGTGTAAGATACAAATTGATGGAAACTAACAGTCACTGCACTAAAGTGACATTCATTATGTATGTGGATATTATTGACTGTGGCTACTGATAGTGGAAAATATTTAATGTGATTAGAAATTGTAAAAAAAAAATAAATCTGGGCATATAATTAAACAATTATAGACCGCATAAATCAACTCTGTAGGTTCGGCTCTACGGTCAGTGCTCACTGGTTTCTATAGGTTACAGCCTCGGCCTGGGTCTCCAAATTTAAGCCCCGCAAATTATGAAGCCATAGGCTTACAATTCTGAATAATGACACAGCAATTTTTTTATTACATTTTTTAGTCATTTAGCAGACGCTCTTATCCAGAGTGAGTGCATACTTTTTTTGATTTTAATATTTTTTTTTCATACTTCACTGTGGAAAAGAGGCAGAAATACCTGTCATGTTGACATACCTTTCAGTTTGCTGAAATATGACTGGTTTCACATTTGTCTCCAGAGATCAAAAGGTAAAATAGATATAAAGTAATTGTCATTTATATTTACAATCCTCTTATCCAAACGGATTACTCATTTACCTAGCTCTTATTAATAGCTCTTACCAATTTATAAGTTACAGTGCATGGAGATTGGGGTTATTTCTATGTTCTCTTTCAGTAGACTTGGTTGGACATCTCACTATGGGACACGCCTTCTTTTGCAGGTTATTGGTTGGAGCCTTATTGAATCACGCCTAACAGGCCAATCAGAGCTCTGTTAGTGTACACCTCACTTGTCTATATAACACCCTGCAATGCTCTGGTTTCCTCATTCTTCACGTCTACACAAGTCTCTTTGGTTACTAGACCATTAAGCAGCTTTCTTCAGAAAACTAGCTCTCGACTTAACTGTTCCTTTCGGTGTGCGTTACCACCCCACCACTGATGGTTGAGAGGCTTCTTTTCTATTTTCAGGAATTCTGCTACCAAAAATAGCACGTGCAGTTGACTGGGGCAGCTCTAGCAGGGCAGATATTTGACGAACTGACTTGTTGGAATGGTGGCATCCTATGACGGTGCCACGTTGAAAGTCACTGAGCTCTTCAGTGAGGCCATTCTACTGCCAATGTTTCTATGGAGATTGCATGGCTGTGTGCTCAATTTTATACACCTGTCAGCAACGGGTGTGTGGCTGAAATAGCCGAATCTACTAATTTGAAGGGTTGTCCACATACCTTTGTATATGTAGTCTATGTAACCCCGGTTCTCTGAAGGAGATGAGGTAGACATCTCACCAGATTGCCCCTCTTGCACAACTCGTGTAGGAGGTAGTTCTTAGAATGAGGAATCCAGAGCATTGCAGGTTGTTATATAGACACACGAAGCTCACCCACAAAGCTCTGATAGGCGTGATTGAATAAGGCTTCAACCAATGATCCACAAAAGAGGGCGTGTCCAATAGTGAGATGTCTCCTTCGGAGAACCGGGGTTACATACCGTAACCCAACGTTTTTGCACTTTGAACCGACAGGTTGCTCGACCTTATTCATCGTTTCTGTGCGCGTGAAGGTGGTGGAATTATGAGGGAATTAAGTTGAGGTCTGAATACGGCGTATCTGTAGACACCTCCATTTCTTTGATAACCACCCAAAACTCGTACCTTGTTGCCACTGACTTTTCCTCATGCGTAAATTCAAGGTCAACACGCTAGAGAGAAAAGTGCATAAAAAGGGAATAAAGTTAAATTTACGCCCGCATGTGACTCGGGTCTGAAATCCCTCCATAATGCATATCTTTGGACCCCATTGTTCTGAATACCTTTTTGCAACTAACCGGAACCACACTTTACCCCCTCTTCATCCTTCTATCTCTCCATCACTCCTCTTCTTCATTTCTTTCATTCTCTCCATAGGGAGGTGAAGGAGGCTGCCATGACTGAGCCTGAGCGGGCTCCTGAAGGCAGTGAGGAGGTAAGGCCACGGAGGAACACTGGGACTTCCTCACTGTACCATGGCTCTCTAAAGAGGGGTGTGCTCCAGGCTTGGACTGTCACTGGCCAACCTGTGAGGAGACCTCCCTCCAGTTGTCAGCCATCAAACCTAACCACTTTAGTGAGAAATTAGGTGTTTGTTTTTGGTCATAGTTTTAGGTTGTGCTATTGGGCGCATCCATGCTCCATCTTCTCCAGTTAATGATGTCTCTCGTTTCCCTTTTGCTTTATACCCCATCCCATTGTAGACAATTAAGTGCTTTTAGGTCCTGAAAAATGCTTAGTGATAAGACATAAGAAGCACATTTCAAACATTTCTAGATGAAAACTAACAATCTGTTTTTTGTAATATTTACTTACTGGTTTGGTGACCCTGACCCTTTTTTAAAGAGATTTGATGAGCTAGTAAAACAATTTTTTTAGATGTTTTTGAACCTTTGCTGATGCTGTCTCAGACAGAAGCAGCAGGGGAGATGCTCTTACTGTGGCTGATGTTTAAAACCCCATTGATTGCTTTGTTATAAAGGTGCTCATGCCTCTTCCATTGTCCCTAATGGTACCTGCATACTACTACTGCTGCACCTGTTCCAATGTCCCCAAGAGCCCTGGGTATCCCACAGATAGGCCCCTGATTCTGCACTGCAGTGGAACAGCTGTGGCAACAAAGGCCATGGCACTTGATTGGACTAATGGGCTGAGGGTTTAGGATGACTGATCTCGTCTGTCTGTCACCAACGCCTGGCTCAACTGGCTCATACACCACCTGTATGGCCACATACAACCTTCACAGTGGGTCTGAGTGGAGATGAGGAGGCTGACACTCAATAAGACTGTTTCAAATCCTTCAATGACAAGCCTGTGGATGGCTTCGGATGGGGTTGCTGCAGTACATATCTCTTCTCACCACCTACAGATGAATATGCTGCTCGATGGACTTGCATGGACCGTTTAACTGGTCAATATTTTTTTTCTTTTTCTGGACTAAACCGTTTCTCTGAGAAAGGACAGTTTGGATGTTCTGAGTCATGAGGACAGCTTGGGTCTTCTCTTCGTGGCTGTTTTTCAAAGACATGATCTTGGACATTTTATAACTTTCTCAATGGCAGCATTTCTTTGGACTCACTACCAAACATGTCTGACTGTTAGCTGGAAAAGGTACTTGCCAATTGGGTCCCTTTTTTCTGCTACTACCTGGCACTCAACAGATGGTCTTCTGATGCCCCTGTGAAAGAGGGTGTCTGCTGAACTATGACCCTGCTAGTTTTTGGAGTGACTCTTGTTCAACATTGACTATCCCATCTCCATTAAACCTCAGCCGGGCAGTATCCCAACAGAAAAGCATGACAAAGATCTGAAAGACTGATGCTTGAGCGCTAAGGACTTGACCCCAAAACGTTTCCAAAAGCCACTCAAGTCCTACCCCCACTGATCTACAGAGCCCATCCTGCCAACCAGCTGTCAGATTTCCACCCAAACTTCACAACCACCTTTGATTGGACCCTTGTTGCCTAGATACAGTACATGCAGTCGAGATTGGGCCATATCCAACCCAGTAAGGATCAGGTGTCAGTGGTACCAGGGAATAAGTAGTCATTTTCTCAATGTTATTTTCTACAAAGAAATACACAATATTTAGAAAATGTATAGTTTTAGTCAATTCCCTTCTCTTAGCCTAAAATGGGGGAATTGACTCCGACATAGTTGTCAAATGAATTAATTTACATATTTATGGCTACTGCCGTTTTGAATGAAACTTGTTGTAAACCACCCAATATTATAGTCTTGCTTTATGGCCCAGTAATCCTGGCAGCCACTTAGTTTACCAGCTACACCATTCAGATGTGCTGCTATGAAAGTTAAATGAAATGTGAGCCATTTAATTCTAAGGAATTTAAACTGCAGTATTGCCATCAGGCTACTATCTGTCTTTCTGTATGTGTGATAGAGACTGCGGCTCCATCCCCGAACACCTTTCTACACCAAACATAAACTGACATTTGGGGACCCCAGTCATTAATATTACTACATATCTTAAAGCCATGCACACAGTTTTGAGACCAAGCAAAGATGTTATCCTCTGTCTGCTCACTACAGTGTGCTATTGACAGCCATATATTGAGATTCAATATGACTGGTGCTATTCATTGTTTGACTATCATATGTTGAGATGGAAAGTGACCTAGACTGGAGTAGCAGTCTCTCTCACCTAGTTTCTCTTCCCTTGTTCACCCACACATTCTCTCTTGTCCTGTCTTCCCTTCAATCTGTCCATGCACCTCTCCATCTCTGCCTCTCACCTTTCCCCTGTACTTTGGGGTGTGTTTATTTATTTTTGTTTCAGAGTCTGACACCAAAGACATTCGCAGCCCGTAGGATCTCCCTTAGCAGTGAGTATACCTCCCTCTACCCGCTCATTCCTGTTTTGGTTCATTGTTTTCTTCAGCCCAGTAGGTAGACTTGGTTTTATAGTTTGAGTTTGCCCGTGTGAGTGAGAGACAATTATAGATGAGGTGCTTGCATTTGTGCGTTCGCGTTTGGCCATGGTGCAATCCCCCTTTGTCTTCCAGGTAGCAAGGCCTCTCCAGGTGTTGTCAGTGCCGAGGGCGAGGCAGAGTCTGGGGCCGGGCCCGGGAGGAAGAGGAGGTGGGGTTCCAGCACTGCAGTCACAGCCAAGAAACCATCCATCAGCCTCACCACAGACTCTCTGAAGGTACAGCATCGTCATCACTACACTGCTAAATATACTGTTGGACATATTACAAACCATCTAAACACAGCATCATAATGAATACTAACAAACCTTTTACTATCTGTTCAGTCTTGAAGCTTCTCTCCTTCTCCCATCTGTAATATATTGATTGTGCGGCCCAGTCTCTGATCCCAGACATCAGGCTGAGTCCAGGCCAGGAGGCTGTAGTGGATCTGCACCCAGAGGAAACTCACCTCTCTGGGGGAGAGGAGGACAGGGAGCGGGGCGAGCAAGACTTCAAGATCAGACGCACAGTCACACAGGTCAGGGTTCTACTTCACTTGTTCTGTGGACTGTACATTTATCTTGATTCAAGAAGTAGTAATGTATTACGGGAAATTGGTTCTGCGGCGGTCATTCATAAAGGTGCATTCAGTAAGATTTACTATAATGGCTGACATTCGTAATTGACCCAAAGGTGTATTACATTGTGAATGTCTTATTAAAACATCTGTGTGTGCCGCCTCGTCTTCCCCACTCACTTCCAATGTACTGTGTGTAGGTGGTCCTGTCCGAGACCCAGGAGAATGGACCGAAGGAGTCAAAGAGGAGTGAACACAAGGATGAGGACAGAGAGGATGGAGGGGAGGTTAAAGGCGACAGAGAGAAGATGGACAACTTATTCCAGAGAGACTCCATGGAGACACAATCCCCCTCTCCTCCCATCCATGACATGGAGATGAACACAGGTGATAGATTGATCCAAAATTAAAGATCAACTTAATGATCTTATCAGATTGATCAAAACCTCTAACCCTGGGCTAGATTGTAGCCTTTGATATGTTGTGAGTTATCAGGTTGATGTATCTCTCTGGTCTCATCTGTTCAGTGAGCCCCAGTGACACCCTGATCCGTCGCTCCATCAGTCAGCAGAAGTCTGGCGTGTCCATCACCATAGACGATCCTGTCCGCACAGCCAAGCAGCCTTCTCCTCCACGAGGCAAAGTGTCCAACATCGTCCACTTGTCCAACCTGGTTCGGCCGTTCACCCTGGGTCAGCTAAAGGAGCTGCTCAGCAGGACTGGCACCATGCTGGAGGACGGCTTCTGGATTGACAAGATCAAATCTCACTGCTACGTCACGGTACGTCTCTGTCTGCTGGCCGTTATCCTGAATACAGGTCTGCGTCTCAACTGACATCCTATTCCCCGGATAGTGCACTACTTTTGACCAGCCATAGGAGGCTCAAAGCTGGTCGAGGCTGGTGCACTTGACTATAGGGTGTCATTTTAGATGCAGCCCGGAACTCCTCCTACATCTTCCTATTCTCTGTGTCTTATCTAAGGCAAGCCTCAATGTTCCTAATGGATACCCGGTTTTGCTCCCTTTTCTTTCAGTACTCCATTGCAGAGGAGGCAGTGGCCACTCGTGCAGCACTACATGGGGTGAAATGGCCTCAGAGCAACCCAAAGTTCCTCAGTGTGGACTTCAGTCAGCAAGAGGAGGTGAGACTAACTTTGCCCTAGTAGTTCTGCCCTACCTGATGATGTATATAATTCCCCAGTTCTCTAATATTTGAGTGATTATGATCTTCCTTATGTTAACCTTCCTCCTCGTGTGTGTGAGTGTAGCTTGACTTCCACAGAGGCTTGCCTCCCCCTGAGAGGGCTGGAGAGGAGGAGCGGGGGGCTGCGTCGATGCCTGGCCGAGGTCGGGGGGTGGCCCTGCCCCCTCTCCTGCCAGAGAGTGACCAGTGGGCGGAGCGAGAGCGTGAGATGGAGCGCAGGGAGAGGACCCGGGCGGAGAGGGAGTGGGACAGGGACAAGGTTCGGGACTTTGGCCCAGGAAAACCTGGAGAGGAGGCGGGCCCCAGACGATCGCGCTCCAGAGAGAGGAAGCGCAAGGAGATGGGCAAGAGCAAAGAGAGGAAGATGGACAAGAAAGGTGAAGAGTGGGGATGGAGAGATGGTGGTTTAGAGCTGTGCCCTGTTGGGTCAACTGTATGTTTACTCTTTCTGTTTGTGTTGTTTCTTCAGAGAAAGCTCCAGAGGAACCCCCTGCCAAACTGCTGGATGACCTGTTCAATAAAACCAAAGCAGCCCCTTGTATATACTGGCTCCCTCTCACAGAAGAGCAGGTCAGTTATATACACACACAACTCAACTATCTGAACAAGATTTCTTATTGATGATATGGGGTCCACATATCCTTCCTTACATTTGTTGAACGTGTTGATTTAAATTGTTTACAGTCCACTCTTAACATTCTCCCTTGTTCTGTCTCTTTCTGGCCAGTTTACACAGAGGGAAGCAGCCCGACAAGAGAGGATGAAGGAGCGAGAGAAGAGGAGGAAGGCGCAGCAAGAGGAGGAAGAGAAGAAAAGGGAGGAAGAGCGCAAAGAAAGGATAAAAGCAGGGAGTAGCGCATCTGGCGAAAGAGGCGAGGGGGACAGGGACAGAGAGCGAGACAGGGAGAGGGGCAGAGACAGGGACCGAGACAGAGAGGGTGACAAACGCAGAGAAGGCAGCCACCGCAGACCAGGGGGCAGCAGTGCAGGGGTGGGCAGACGCTCCCGCAGCCGCAGTGATCCTCCACCTCGTGACAGACGACGCTAGAGGGAATTGGTGTGGCTGGAACTGTCTAAAAATAACCCCCCATTCCCCATCACTATATGTACTTTGTTAGAACTAAGACCCTACAGAGGACCAATACACACACACACACACACACACACACACACACATAGGGACCATGGTTTGAGGAGTGTTTCCCCCAGACTGCAGTCTGTCTTGCTCCTGTCTGAAAGTTTAGATTTTATTTGTGTTAATTTTGCCTAAGTGTATTCTTATTAGTTTTTTTTAATATTCTTGGCAGATTGGCAGTAAGGCAAACAACCCTTTTCCCCTAATTTCTCCCCCATGCATATCTGAAGCATAAGTGCTCTATGTGGAGGTCTATGCATACACACACATCAGTTTTTGTCCTTCCCCTGTGTTGTGTATTCCACAACTGGTTTCTGTGGGGTGCTTCGTCATGGCTGCATGCTGTCCAAGTCTGCCGTCCTCCGCCTTGATTCCTGGGGAGGACTGACGGTGTTGCGCAGAGTTCTGTCTTTGTTTAGTTTGATGGATGAGAGACTATATTCTCTGCAAGAGATTAGAAATGACACAGGCCTCACTGATCTGTCTCTTAATCTTCTATACGCTTCTTTCTGTCCATCCTTTGCCTTCTCCCCCCCCCCCCCAACCCCTCCTCTGGTCAACGCAGGCAGGAAAAGGGGTGCGTATTAAAACGCCACACAAACGGTTTTAATATTGTTTTTTAATCATTATTAAAGTTTACTTTGTTATTGTTTTCTTTTCTTTTTTTTGATTACTCCTGTAAGTGGTGAATGTACAAATAAATAAAAAATACGTTTGAAAAAGCTTTTGCACTTGTTTTCTGCAAGATAACTTATATCAGTAGGAGATGCACTTATTTTAGATGATCATTGTAACAAAACAAAAACTGAGTTAAATGAAATTACTCACATTACATGTTCCAGGTAACTTAGCCATTTCTTAGTCATTATTACTATGCCGCAGGAAAAAAAAAAAGATGCAGTAATATTGGAGATCCACAAGGTGTCAGTGATGCACAATAGGGCTTCATAATTGTACACATTTGTTGGAAGGGCTCTGCAGTGAAGTAGATGAAGAAAGGCTGATGAAGGTGAGTAATGAATAGTAATGAAAGGTTTTCTGACGTAAATGTGCCTTTTACTTTATTACTGAACGCAAAAAGCTCTAGATGAGAAATGTCATGGTGAGTCAATTGAGAGGCTGCAATGGAAACTTATGTTAATCTCTACCTCTGAATGTTTTAAAAACATAACCTCTTACTCACCCAATTTCCTCTCTCACCCTTCCTCTTTTTCTATAGTGCATCGTGAGGTGCTCTCTCTTCCTCTGGCCAATCCCTGCACCTTCTCTCAGGCCTTGACGTTCTTCCTACTGAGCTCAGCAGAGCTCCTCTATAATTAAAGCACTCTGGTCGCTGAGCGGAACATTTTTGTGCCCTGATGCAACTCTGTGCCGGGTGGCTCAAGTGAACTGGGCTGACCCTCCTGTCTCCGGCACCCAGGCCCAGCCAGCACACGCTATGGAGAAACACTTTAGAAATTCGAGAATTGTGTATGACACATATCTTTAAATGAAGTAGTTAACTAAAGGGACAGTGTTTTACTCGATTAACAACCCCGCCATGTGTGCTCATTTATGTATGAAGACTGAAGGATGAGATAAGAACTTGTTCGTAATTACCAATATTAGCAGATGAGTGTTGTGTGTGTGTATTTGGAAGTAGCAGTAGAGAAATATTTGAGGTTAAAGGTAGGGCAAAGTGTTGACAGTGATGGTGGGTGTGGACATTTGTAGTTTTGTGTCCCTGCGGTTTTGACTAGAACAAATAGATTTTGTCCGATTTGACTTTTCGTAACAGGTTAGGATAATTAACGTAGCTGGTTAGGATAATTAGGTTAAGGTTAGGAAAAGGGTTAGGGTTAGCTAAAATGCAAAATAAAAATCAACTTATGACTTTAATTTGACAAAAGCTGTACCCGTTCTAGCCATGACATGTGCCTGGAGCCTGTTGCATGAGACAATAGTTAGTGAGCCTGGGAGAGTTTGGCAAAGTAAACCTCTGTGGAGAGAGGGAGTGAAGAGGACAAGGAACTAGGCCCGCTGGCCAAGTAGGCTAAGTGCTACAGGATAGAGCGCTGACCGGCCACGAGGACGAAATGGATACTTGGCTATTTTCGCCCTGTGGGTTGCCAGTAGGCTGACTCGGTTTAGTTCCCTGAGCACAGCAACTTTCTGGTGTGGGAAGAAGGAGCTCAAATGCATGGCTCTCTGGTTGTAGCTAGGTCTAGCAGAACCTCTGCCCACCTCTGTCTGGGGTATACTCCGGTCAGTACAGGCCCCTCCAGTCCTCCCTGGAGACTGAGCTGAGCCAGATCAGTCCATGCTGATGACTGGGCAGTAAAAACACAGTTTAGGCCCTGTAAGCAGCCTCCCCGGCTCAATGAAACCACATGGCCCTTTGTGTTCAGACCAGCTCTCACAGGAACATGAAACTGACAGGGGCCCCTGGCTCCATTTTCAAAGGCTACCTCTGATGTGGCTTCTCAGAACTTTCTCTCAATAGGATGTCAGGACAAAACAGAGATAAGGAGCAGACAACTTGAAAGACAGTGATATCTGGGTAATCGGTTGTCTTTGCCACATATACACGAGATCTAATGCACCAAAAATAAATGTTCACTGTGTGTATGCACTCATTGTATACCTATTACCTTCTCTGCCTCCTGTTCTTTGTCTCTCCCCCGCAACTTAGTGATGAGAACCAGATGTGGGCTATTGCATTAAAGTGGAGGTGGAGGAGACAGAATAACTGACTGAGCACAAGGTTGTAACGCAGTTCATTAACTAACGAGAGAGAGAGGTGGAAGGGTGGTAGAAACAGCATGAGGTAAAAGGGGTCTCTCTGCCCTCTCATATGGTCTATACTAACATTGTGTGTATATTTAGCTGCCAGATTCAAAGTGCCAGTCGTCCAGACCAGGCCCAGATTGAAGCAGGGGGGTTTCCTAACGGATGTGACTGGGTCAGAACGAGGATGGCTGGGGTTTGGGGGAGGAGGGAAGGAGAGAGAGTCTGATTCAGCAGCTCCTTATGGGAAGTCTCTTCCTGCTCAGTTTGGGGATAAATGCACGATGGGGTTAGAAGAGTATACACTGTAGAATAACCTACGTGTAGAAGAACCTGTATTATTTTCACACAATACCTTTGGCTATAAAAGAGCTCACCACACACTAGTCAAAGTGCAGACAGACAGTATGACTTTAATTAATGCAGCTGTTTCGCCCATACCAAGATAGCTGTATGCAGATTCAGCTCTGGTGGGAGAGAGACATACTGTATCACAAAGGAAAACAGAGAAACTATTAGAAATCAAACAGTTGGTAAGGAGATATGAAGTTCTTGAATTGGAGAAAAAAAGGAAGATTAGCACAGCTGCAAGAACACACACACACATGCAGGCATGGACACGCACGCACACACACACACACAAACACACACACACACACACACACACGTACATAAAATGCAGGCATCTAAGTGAGCGAAAGAGTACATTTTCCCAGTTATTTTTCCAGTGAAACTAATAGAATACTTAATAGAAGACTTGCAAGAGAAATGAAGCGAGACAAAAGGAGTGTATATTAGACATCTCATCTTTCTTTCCCATCCTCTTTCCGCCCTTTTTCTTTTCCATTGAGTCCAGCTACACACCACAAATACTGTATGCACACAGAGCAAATACCATACAAACAAGTGTAGGTGTCTTTGTTTCTGTGTGTGTAAGCGTTTTTGTGTCAGTGTGTCTGTGCGTGTGAATGAATACGTGTTCGTAATATCAGAGCTTGTGCAGGATGTGACTTGGCTGTGTGAAATTGAAGCCATGTGTAGCCTATATACTCACTCACTACCAAGGGCTTTTACCCTGTGTAAGTACTGGAGGAGAGGTTTGGGATACACTGTATAAGTACAGTAAATTCTATTAGTTATATCTCAGGATAGTTAACAGTAATGGCGGGGTACTCAAGTACTATTTGAGAAGGTTTGGTCACACACAGTTCTTAGGTGGCAAAGGTCAGAATGGATAATGTCATTTATCGGCGTAGTAACAAAGCCCCACCTCACAACCCAAACTGCCCACTGGGCACACACTGATTGAATCAACGTTCTTTCCACGTAATTTCAATGAAATTACGTTGAACGAAAGTGGAATAGACGTTGAATTGACATCTGTGCCCCGTGGGTGTTCAAACTGTTCACACCCCTTTTGTTGGCGGAGAGAAAATTTTGCAGTTTTAAAGCAAATTTCCTGCAATTCTACACATTTTGCCATGTCTTATGTGTGTTCAGATCATACCAGTGGTTGAAGCACGACTGAGTTCCTAAACAAAAAATGTTGAGTATTGCTGCATTAATGGTTAATGAGTAGGGCCTTGAGTTTTCCTGACCAATTGACCTGACCAAAACAACTTCAGTTCCTAGGTATAGCCTACGACTAGGGCCTGAGTTTTTCCTGGTCAAGTCTTGTGGTCAGCAAAAACTCTGGGTCCTATTCATGTTTCGTCTGGCCAGACTGTGATGTCACACTGTGGGCAGACAGAGTGTGACTTCCTCATCACCAAGGCCCATTCATTAGCAGGTCAGCTGCACAGCAACTAAAACAGCCACAGGAATTCTCTCCTGGAGAGATAGAGAGACTGGGAAAATAGAGGGAAAGCAAAAAAAAGGGAGAGCAGAGACACTGTCTGGGGTGCATATGATGTGGGTTGGTGTTGGACTGCAAGAAATGTAGGCTCCATAGAGAGGGAAGAGAGATGGGTGGATAGGAGAGGGGGATTAAGAAAATAGTGTGTTTTCATCAAATTGGAAAGAGGTGAAGAGAGAGATGAGAGATGTATGATGAAAGAGGGTTGTGTGAGGAGGAGGTATTGAGCGGAGTGGTCTTTGTTAAGACTTGTGTGAAAAAAAGTGAGTCATTTAGCAGAAAGGGAAGAAACTGTCTCCAGTTACACAGAGAAAGAGAGAGGAAGAAGAAAAGAGGGGGAGAGAGGAGAGAGAGGGAGATGTGGGGAGGAATATGCTGAGGTTGTTTTTCATACTGCAGAATTAGCT